TGGCACATCTCAAATAAATAAATGATTAATCCACAAAAAGTAGCTATATCAATAATGAAACAAACAAGACAAGAAGCTCAAATATTCCCTCCAAAAAAACTGTATAAATTCTAAACCCGCAAATCAGTCCGTGGATGATCACATTGCTCCGCCCATCAAAAGGTCACCTGCGTGGATATATCACCTGTCGTCAGTTGGAAAATTTTTACATGTCTCCCATGTGAGATGGTAGGCAGGTTAAACTTCAGCCAAACCTCTCATCTTCATTTCTAATCAAACGTAGGAAAGAAACATGACTAAATTCTCTCGATTTTAAATGCTTTGAGCACAGAGCCTCCCATATGATAAAAATCTAGATAAATGTGGTCTAATTTACACTGTGCCAATTTACAACAACCATCTCACGCCACTTAACAAAATTCCCTTTTATTAGACGATTAGCCTCCTTCACAATAAAGTACGGATCCATTTAAAATCATTTGATGCATATAGGACAATCTTTCATCACAATAAAACATAACACAAAATAATACTTTAAATAGGACAAGCAAAAAGCAGACAGACATACAAAACGACACGCACATCAGCCTACAGGGCACAGATGAGGAAGGGCAATGGATGGCTAAATGATTCCGATGACAGGAAGCTTTTTACTGCTATTTCTTGTCAGAGTGGGGAAAGTTTCCCAAGAGAAAAGAGAGAATAAAAGAACAAAAATCACAGTCTGAAAATAGAAAATCGTAGAACACAACAAGCCTTTGTTAGCTTCTTAGTTTAGAATATTAGGATCACTTTTTTGGAAACGTGCGTTTGTGCGTTAGTGGTGTCAGTTACACTGCACAATCAGAAACCCTGGAATATTTCATCTAACTATGCTTGTATAACTAATTCTGGCCACCGCTCTCAGTGTGTCTATGACAACAACATTGCATGCCTGACATTATGACTGTGTCTTGTGTCTTGTCTGCAAATACTTCCTTCTGAACAGAAAGACAACATCATTTATCAGCTCACTAATATGACACAAACCTCTGAGAGCTAAAGAATTATCCATAACATTAAATCTGGGTTAGATTAAGAGGTTGAGGGATTTAAATTCAATGAGACTGCTGCACACCAGCTACTAAGGTTTATGTGGGTGTTATACGAGGCATTTCTTTATGCTCTTCCATTTAGGAACAGCTATAAGCTGGAACAGTTTCTCCAAAGCCAAACAACCTGGATTAAACTGAGGCGTTGCCATGTGGAAGGAGCAGAAGTTTGTCTTCCACTGATTGGTCGAGCAGGTGATTAGGATGACACGTGGCTGCTCGATCAGCCTCAGATATGTTTCTGTTTACTTTCTTTAAAGGAGAGAAGACACATTTACACTAACATGAGCACCTATGTGTTAATCTTCCACCTTTAGGTGTACTGGCTCTTTTTTTTACGTCTGGACACCCTGGCAGAGGAAGAGTTACAATTTAAAACAGCATGCTATGATTTGCAAAGCTCATAAAGCCTTGTTTAATTCACTACCAAACATAGAAACCATATCAAATGTTTAAACTGAGACAACTGGGACTTATTGTTTATGTTCCTCAACATAAAACTGTGAAGACTGAATATGTCAGTAGCTCCGGTGCATAATATCATCAAAACAGCAACATTTCTGCAGAGGAGGCTGAAATCAGTACTGGTTGCTTGCGATCTCTGGAACTTCAGGTGGTCTGCCTAAAAACAAGCATGATCCTGTCATGGAGATCACTCCATTGTGTATGAAACACAGAAACACAGCCACCTCCTCGGGGCCAAAGCTCATTTAAAATGGACTGAGACAAAGTAGACGACAAACCCAAATCTGAAGCTCTTTTTGAAAACATGGACACAACATCCTCTGTAGTGGATCCCATCCAGATGATGTGTTTTTCAGGGAAGCGCTTCCATATTTAGAATTGAAGATGGATCCCAAGTTAGCTACACTTCTGCTTGATAGGATGAAAACAGCAAAAAAGCATGGGGAAGGAACCTGGAGCTTGTACTCAAACTTCACAGTTCAAAATTGCAGCTTTATCATAACCATCGTAATATTCAAATGCCTGCACCAAGCTGCACCAACACAAATGGTCTAAACTGCTTAGAGATGACGATTTCTCCTCATGGTAATAATCACATCCCAAAATTGTGCTGAGGATATTTGACAAGCTACTGTGTTTTTCTATAGTCATGTTTTCTGGACATTCTGCTTAGATATATGCAGTAATACACAGTAGCCTATATGTGGAACTGAAGGGGCTCGGGGTTCTGAGTCAGCAGTATATCATGTCCCCAAGCAAGACAGAGTGAAGAAAAACAGTTCTGCAGCAGCAGCACTGCCTCCATCATGGCAGGACAGATTTACATCCCCTGTTCATTACACAGGGAATGTGTTATACATTACACAGATCTATGAAGCTCCATGAAGATCTATAGCACTCATGTGTGTCATGCCTGCAGCTGTCCATTTCCCTGTGGCAGAATCCTTCCTATTATGGAGCTGACCTTACGACTGACTGGTTTAGCTTAATAATTTACCACTGCTACTCTAACAGGGTTCTCAACCCATCTTGTAATTTAAATTATTTTAACATCGCACTATAAAGAACAGAAAACCCTGACAGGCTGGCATTTGAAACACAAGCACATGCACACTGTTGGTTATTCATATCTTGTGGGGACATAATGCTTTCCCTAGCTGCTTACCCTAACCCAGAAAAATGAATGCCTAACCCTTACCATAACCCAACTGTAACCCTGTCACTAAAAACACATTTTGAGTCTCAAACTTGTGGGGACCAGGATTCTGGTCCCCATAAGGGCTGCTGGTCCACACAAGTATAGTAAACTTTGAACTTTGGTCCCCACAAAGATATGAATACATGTTCGCTCACACACACAAACACACATTTACTCAGGGAATCAGTAAGGGGAAAAAACGCATAACTAGCAAACCACAGAGATCTCTCTAATAACTGATACACACAGAGAGACAACAATGCAGCAGAACAAGATTGAAAACAGAGAGCAAAGATCTGAGCACGAGAAAAAGAAATAAAAGCATCTATAAAGCGGGTCCTGGAGGAGAGCCACTGTTTGGTAAAGCCTCCAGAGTGCTGAGTGTTGTTGTGTGGTGACAGGTATACGAGCACAGCTGACAATGAGATGAACAGCAGTGCAGCACTGCAGGAAACTGGGTGCTTTGGGGCATCCGATTTCTATTCCTTATTTGGCCATGAAAGTACTTTTATCTACCGGTTCTGAAAACAACGATAGCTTGTGTGCGTCCGCTACTGCCCACTCTCTCACCCCTTTCCTCACTTTGTGTGTGTATTTGTGAGAAAGCGAGTGAGAAATCGGGCACAGTATATGTATTTCAGTCTGGCGCTACACCAAATGGTGACAGCTGGTCCTGCAGTGACTGTGTGTTCCTAAATAAATAACCAAAAAATATGAGCGATTATTAGTCACAGTGTGTTTGAGTTTGCATGTTGTGTTTTTGGGTCCCATGTCCTCTGTGCTCTGGTACCGTCCACTGCCAACCCTCTCCAAGAAGTCTTTGCTAATAAGAAGGTCAGAGTCAGGAACAACTTCCAAAGTATTATTATTTTTACCTTATCCTGAACTGCACCTCACCACTTTGTTTGAGACATCACCTTTGTTGCATAGAGTAAAAGGCTGTCATTAAATACTTATACTAACTTAATGTAACGGCAACAATACTAGGCTACTCTGCAACTATCCTAACACTTCAGTATCAGTCTTGTCACACTACGATTTGAATGATCTGCTACGGTGTCAGTGTTTTAAAGCAACTTTTATTAAAGGAGTTGAAGTAATTGAGTTGACCATTTTTGTTCTGGTATTAAACCCTCTGTTGGGAATCATTTAATTCTACAGGTGTTGGTACATCACTGGTCAAACTGATAACTCAGTACTTCACCTTTCAGTCTAACTATGGTTACTTGGCTCCAAAAATTCAACAGGCCAGTAACTAAAGGGTTGTGTGCGACCTAAGTGACAGCATGGTGACTACGTTTATGTGGCGTAAACAAAATGCAGCATTATGAAGATTTCTGTCTCAAAATGAAGTTTAAGGACAAATAAGGAATTTATCCTGATTTGCATAGATCAGGTATCTGGAGCATTAATATGAATCCTATCCTCGCTCAAAAAGCTGGATCAGATATTGGTGACAACGAGCCAATTCAGGGCCGAACACTTCAGTACAGTGTTGCTTACAACACCATACACGAGCAGAATACCCTCGCAAAACATGGAGAATGTTAACAAACAACGTGACATAACATTGTCAGACATGTCTTTATCATTATTAATCTGAAAAAGCACATATGACATGTGCAAGTCTCACCTTTGTAATGGTGTCCTCATCCACAGCGTCAGTGCCGATCTCTTTGTTAACGTACAGCAAAGCATAAAGGTATCCAGCACGACCATACAGCAGCTCATCTGGTATATCAGAGTCTGGGCTCAGCACAGACCGCTGAAGCTGAAGAAGCCTGATGGAGAAACACAACAATCA